TGACCCCATCCCAAATGGGTCCTAAATATTAACGAATTAGCTCCTTTAAGTATTCAAAGAGTTATGTTAAATAAAGAGATAAAACAAAAATTGAAGAATAAATATTTTATTTACACTATGAAATGTGTGCTAATTATTATAATACAGCTTTCATTCACAACATACATACATTGACATATATTACTCTTACAACAATAAACATACAATGGTACATTAAAATAGCCTAAAACACAAAATCTCGTATAAAATACGGTTGTTTAAAGTTACAATTTCATATTTTTAAAATGTATTAAAATAAAGCCCTAAAATAGATGGCATCTATAAACAGTTCTATCTACCTTGTTAAATTATAAGCCTATTAATCCTATAATTCACTATTGCCAGTTGAGAAATTGGCAAAAGTATCATTTTCAACTTCAAATTCAAACGTTTGAAAATAGCTATTCCATGGTGGGGAATAGGAACACAAGGGAGGTAATTGTGTTATTATTTCCGGTGTGAAGATCGTATAGTAGTGAGTTGACAACCTATTGAGCAAAAGACATAGGAATAATTATGTTTTGACTTTCTTAGAAAATATGAAATTGTAACTTTAAACTGTCCACTTACGTCCACGCTTAAGCAATCAGCCTACATTTCAACTAAAAAGCTCAATACGTTTCTGTGCTTCAAGCCGTAGCAGAAGATAGATCAGTGTGAAAATTATATGTCCTCGATTACAGTTTCGGTTTAAACTCCTAGCAACAATATCTCAAATAACTCCACACATTTTAAGACGTCCCTAAAATCACGAAAATCGACATATCGTGAGTTTTAAGCCTTAATACTCTACGTCCTGTTTTATTGGCCCTTCGTACTATACCCAGAATTCTCCTAACATCATTTAAAATATACTGGCAATGGCCCTGTCAGACCGGATGACGTCCTTACTGCGCGGCTGCGACCGTACGGCGACCAGAAAATGCACAAGGTCGCCGGCAAACGTGAACACAACGCGAGAAAATGTACCAAAGAATTACAAACTTGAAAAAAGTCGCGTTCTCACAGTTTTCCAGGTCAGATCGCAGAACCTTGGCGGGTTTTTTTGTTTTTTTTTGAACATGCTCAAAACAAACGCCGTGACTATGGAGACCATAGCACGATATCTGGCGTTTCCACCACACCTTTGCCACGCTTATAGCGATCTTGACGCGCTCTGGGGCCATTTTCCGTCGCCGTCGCAGCACAGTACGGACGCCACCCCGGTCTGACGGGGGTATAAGACACTAATATCAGCTGTGAACTTGTGTAATTAATATGACGAATCCCTGATGTAAATGAGCAATATAAAGTTTATAATAAATAAATAAATGTTAATTAATACCATTAAAATATATGGTTAGAGGAAATTATAGAAAAAAGAATAGAATCTTTAAAGTGTATTAATGAACTAAACGGGCACAAAGTTGCATAAATAAGAGTTGTGTCCCCTAGACATGAATGTGCTTTCTACTTCAATTTGTGCGATACTTTATTAAAGATACTATAATACATGATTATAATTATTATGTTAAATTACATTTCTAATAATGATTCACTTTATTGGTACATGCGCTGACTTTTACTATGACACTAAGACAGCGTTCACCACAATCTGATTCAAATACAGATCTATATTTCGTTTCGTTTTTTTTTTATACTTTCGATGGCCTCTACTGCATGAAGATCTGGCCAGTTGTAGTGGGAGGCTTTTGACCCTATGACGTCAAACATTTGATTAACCAATCAACGTTGATGTTTCTATTCGGATACCCACAGTTCCGTGCATCGCACACCAAGAACTCGCTGCAACAGACCGTTTCATTGGCTAATCCCTTACATCATTTAGAACGCGGATTATATAACAACTCTTCCAGATCCTATTGTAGTAAAGACAAATAAAACGAAAGTTTGAACTATAAAACACGAAACGAAATAGGATTTGTGTTTTAATCTCATTGCGTTCAGCGCATCATAACGTTGTTACCACAAGAAGTGACAGCGATTGTCAATCACATTTTTGCGAATACATAACGTTTTTCATAAACGCAACCAAAAAAAAAATAAAATTAAAAAATGTAAAATTATCAAAAACCACAAATTTTTTAGGTTTATCGGTAACTTTAGGCATTTTTTTTGTTTTAATGAACGACGCTTGGGCCATAGAGTCATATACATGTACTACATTTAACACACCGTATATAGTGACATAATTTACATCAATAGTGTTCAAAAAAACATTTCATGTGTTACTTTTAGTATAAACAAAGACATAGCATAACAAAACGATCAACATAACGATGACAATATTTAAGCAAAATTAAAATTTGCATCAACAAGGGAATAGGGCAAAAAGAGAATAAAAATCAAACACCAAATCATCGAAAAAAGCAGTACAGTCGAAATCTTAAAGGCGTATTATTTTTTAAAAGATAGCAAATAAGAAGGGACAGGAGTGTTCTCCCTGTATTAGCCCTATCTCAAAAATTAAACATTAAATCGTCGAAAAAAGCAGTACAGTGGAAGTCTTAAAGAAGTTATTTTTTAAAAGATAGCAAGGGACAGGAGTGCTCTCCCTTGTATTATCCCTATCTCAACCTATGTTTTACAATGAAGCCACCAAGAAACAACAGTTTGTATCAATATAAAGATCGGTATTATTTTTTAAAAGATAGTCAATAAGAAGGGACTGGAGTGCTCTCCCTGTATTTTCCCTATCTCAACCCATGTTTTACAATGGGGTCACCAAGAAACGAAAGTCTTACTTTAAATTTATTTGATATCAAAAATGAATTTTAAGATAATTAATATAAGTGAAACGAACAGGATCATAATACATATAGCAACCAAACCCCTTTCGACTGAGCAACAATAGATGAACAGTTTTGCAGTTTTTGGTCATTGCACTTAATTTGTCCGCGCCAACTATTGAAACGTATATGTACAGCGTTACAATAATTTGGATAATCCTAAAATTACTGGGATTAGGAATAGCATTGTGGATATGCGCGCTGTCTCACCTGCACCGTACAGGTGGATATATCGTGAATAAATGCCGGAATTGTCCCGACAGGTAGGTGGAACGCCTGCATAAAAGAAACTCTGCATAATTTCTCCAGCTTGAGCATCACAGAAACTGTAGACTTGTGTTTCACACTGATAACGTTGAAGAGACACACTAGAAAATAAAACAAGATATTAATATATGCATACATGTAAAGTTACCATAAAGAAATGCGCCATCACCTTGAAACATATTCAGATACTTATACAGAGAGATGACTCGTGTTTTCCTTTGGCGTTCGTCACTTCCGATTCAGGAAACCTGTATTACTCAGCTATCGTAGCAATGATCTCTGTGTTAAAATTATATTTGGAATGTGACAATGACTGGCACCAATATTTTCCTTTAACCGCGTCCCACATATTGTCAGCCTGATACCCGGTTTAACTTTATTCCTTGTACATGGGACTCGGGTGGCTACGTATCTATGTATATGGCGTATCTAATTTATTACAGTTGAGAATTTTATTTATACCGTTGCTTCATTGTTATTTGATCTTCGTGATGTAATTCTCTGTTGATATGCTTAATGTCCACTCGACACAAACATATGGTTCAATTTTATTTCAATAATTCGCTTGTGCATAGGGGTTTTTAGCAGTGGGAGGAAACCGGAGGACCAGTAGAAATCCACGTACATTGGACCTTGATCGCACACCCAATCAAATGGCGTGATAATATTTCAAACGATTTCTCGTGTCGCGACGTTTCGTCTATTACTATTTGTGTCCTGTGCATCACAATGTATATCGTGTAATATACTTATCACGTGATTTGATTATGAAATTGATTTGGAAGAGGCCCACATGTTCCCAATAAAGAACCATCTTAAAACAAAGATGTAATTTAGGAAACTAAACCAAACATTAAAATGGACCGAAATGTTGGTATAATTTGATTCAGTTAAGTGGTTCATAGTTTCAACCAAATCTCTTTTATACCTCTGTATAAGATTATTGACCTTTAAGGTCATGTCCAGTATAGTTCTACGTGTGACGTTATATTTAAATGACGTCTATAGCACGTGCTGTTTACTCACTTTACGCCTCCGTGTACTATTGTATTTAAATATAGTTTTATCCAGATATACTTTAAATAACTCTACTTTTTTTTCTTATTTCTTATTACACTTTAAAAAAATGTTTTATAATTTAATTTCCAGATAAAAAGGAGAATTAATATACGATATACTTCAAACAACTATTTTTGTACTTAAAAATGTAAAAAAAAAAAAAAAAATGTTTTATGATTTAATATGCATGAGAAAAAAAGAATAATATTCAGGGATAACAATTACTATGGTCTAACAAGATTTCACAAATCTTGCCGAAGCAAGTATCCTCTTATCGTTATCATGCACAAATAACGATAAGAGAATACTTGTTGAAACGTCGTGCTATAACCAGTGATTGTATTCCATATAAATTGTGTTGTGTTTGTTAATAAGTAGACAATGACCCCGGAAACAAATTTACCGTACACAAGTGTCACGTGCTTTACATTAAATAAAAATTTATTAAATGTATTAAAAATAACATTTATTTTTTTCATAATGAAGCAAAAAATAAAATAAAATGAAACCACATTTGTTTGTATTAGTAGTTTATCTGTTGTATTATACGTATTTACGTGGTATTATGGAAGTACTTATTAAAGTTTTAATTCAGTTTCCGTCTTCATTAAAATACGTTTACAGCATGTAGTTTAGCTCTTAGTCTTAACGTTCTTCATACAAAAGCAAAACATACAGTGGCGTATTGGAGTGGGTGGGGCGGCGGCGGAGGCATGTGATCATCCCTCTTCCATCACCCTTTTGGTTTAATTTTTACCAGGCACGTCCTGTAACTCATTTAAAACCAGTAATGTTTTATAGTTTTGGGTTTTTTAGTAAAATGCATTTAATACTTACTTGCAAGCCATGTTCCTCAACCCATATTCATCAAGTCGTCCTTGTCCTTGTATATTTACAACCTGGGACACTCCTTGGTTAAAATTGTCATAGCAACGTCTCACTTCCGGTGTACTTAACAAACACCGAATCCTGTTTTGAAGAACTGCAAGATAAAACATTGTTTTTTTTTATGTAGAAATAATTTAACATAAAAAAATAAGGAAATAAATGGCACATCACTACATTTCACTTTAGAATGAAACCTTAGTTCTAACCATATGCGGTCTGCCATTGAGTCAACTGGCGGGGTTTCGATTCCCCGGTTGTACGTGACAAGGAGTGGAGGCGCCTGTCCAACCTCGTGGGTTTTCTCCGGGTCCTCCGGTTCCCCCCACTGCTAAAGACCCCTACGCGCAAGCGAATTATTGAAATAAAATTGAACCATGTGTTAGTCCTGAAATGACCTAGTTTGTGTCGAGTGGACGTTAAACCCCATTTCTCTCTCTTTCTCTAACCATATGTTAGCCCAGAAAGAACCGACCCCGAGGTCACAAAGCATTCTCAGATTTAAGTTAAGAATTTATTCAAAATTGTTTGCCTTATTTTAACTAAAATATAAGCCCATTATAAAACGTTTGTTGTTTTAATGTATGAAATACGTCAATAAGTAACCATGTGCAAAGTCTTTTTGTTTCTGGATCAGAGGTATTTCTCATCGACAGTGATTGGAAGTTGAGTCAATTCTCAACTTAAAGGAGCTACGTCGCTAATATTTGGGACCTAGAAATTGACACAAATGGGGCGCAACGCATACAATAATGTAATATGAATGTATATAAATTAATTTACATTCAATCGTTTCTGTTTTTACTGTAATTTCTAATCAGTTAGGTTCGGCGAAATACGCAAGTATTCTCAATCGAATTTCAATCTCTATGTCTGGTTATTCCAGTCTACCCGTTAGTATTTATTGGGCATGCTCTCCAGATAAGAAAATAGCGTCACCGTTTGACATGACTTGTGGAATATGCCTAGCCTCGTTTTTCGAGTCCCTTATTACAAATAGAACTGAAACGCATTATGGTACACGATTCGTGTACCAATTGTAAAATGTTTATTTTGTCTTAAATATTGGATATCAGAAGGCCATCTTTTCCCGGTAAGATCACAAAATCAATGTTGATTTAAGCCCACAAATAATTCGTGTTTTCAATGTCGAAGATTTTGGATGATACTGAGTTAGAGACTTAGCTACTTTAAGTCTGAGAATGATTTGTGAACTCGGGCCTTGTTGTGCTGGATGAACTTCAAGGAGCAAAACCAATTTGATTTAGGTCAAAGTGTGTTATATCAATTAGTTATGTCTAGTTTAATTTCAGAAATCGATTATATCTCAACACTGGGTTAATCTAGGGACATACATTTTTTAATTTAGAAATATTTTCATGTCACAAATCAATTTCAACAAATTAACACGTTTTGTTATTTATTTCACTGGCTCGCTAGCCTGAAGTCGCGTGTTCGATCCCCGCATTGGCCGAGAAAGTTAATCGAAATTTTCCAACGTGGTTTCGTCTTGTCTGTGGTGCAGTATGGAGGTCCCGTGTATACATTGGCGTGCACGTGAAAGATCCCTTGGCAGTGGGATTCGATATAAGAGTAGGCCATAGTGCCGCTGCCCAGGTAAAATGTCCCTCATAGCACACTGTATCAGCAGTAGGACGTTAAACCCCCATTTTATTTCTACTTATTTCACTATTTATTTTGTGTGGAAATAACAGAGGTCGTGTCCTTTTCAATGTCCGGGGTGACTATCCAGGTCTGCATGATTCTTTCTTTAAAATATCCTAATCTTATTAAATCTCTGAAACCACGAATATTGAAAATTTACAAGTACGACGGAGGTGATGGCCTTTAGAATAACCCCGGATATCTGAACTTATCGTCGAAAACGGACAGAAGTTACCAAACATTTGCTTGTCCATCATAAATAGAAACCTTTTATCCCAAATATTTAGAGGTGACTTGCGAAATTCCTGGCCTCGTGTTAAATATAGGGAAAAGAATTATGGGTGTTAATACTTTACGAATAAGGAAATGCTAGCGGACAAGGTGTCAACAAGTGTTACGATTTTTTTCAGTAGAGGAGACAGATGTCCAACGGTAGCCTGCTGCTTGACGTTTGTTAAAAAAACAAATGAGATTACACCAACAGGGTAAACAACTTTACGGTGTTATTATATGACCTATACAAATTTGCCAAAAAAATAAATCGTTCCGATAAGCAGTTCTTCAATCTAATTAAAACACAGATCCTATTTCTTTTTTTTTAATAGTTAAAAATTTCGTTTTACTTGTCTTTACTACACTAGGATCTGGATGAGTTGTTATATTACCGACGTTCTGGTTGAAGTGAGGGATTAGCCAATGAAATGATCTGTTGCAGCGAGTTCTTGGCGTGCGGAACTGTGGGTTAACCACTAGAAACGTCAACGATGATCGATTAATCAATGTCTGGCGTCATAGGACCAAAAGCCGCTCGCACGACACCTGAATGTGAAGTTACAATAAAAAAAAATGCGCCATCACCTTGGAATATATCCAGATATTTAACCCGAGTCATTTTTGGGATAATATACGATTTTTTGTGTACAATGCCAGGGATTTCGTCTGGACAGCCCCCTTTATTTATACCCGTTGTTTCATTATTATTTGATCTTCGTGATGTAATCGCCAGTTGATACGCTTAAAAGCAACCCAAGCTGTTTATTCGTGGTATAAATCGTAGATTTGGTATTGTACAGTTTATTTGTTATAAAAATCTAATATTGTACGGCACTGTGCCAAAAAATCGGGGATCGAATAAACCCCGCATGAAAATCGGGAGAGGGGGAGAGAGGGTAGCAGTGGGAGGAAACCAGAGGTTGGACAGACGATCCTACTCCTTGTCACGTACAACTGCTACATATACGGTCATCTTTCATGATTCACAAATCGTATGAGATAAATGAATAATGTTACTCCAAGTAGAGAGAGAGAGATGGAGGGCTACGTAGCATAAGAGAGAGAGAGAGAGTGCGAGAGAGAGAGATGGAGAGAGGGAGAGAGAGGGAGAGAGAGAGGCATGGCTATACACAGCAACTGTATTAATGTATACATACTAGGTAGATCACTACACAATCCTCTATAAGCTATCCACATTGCTCTATAATCAAACATCAGAGATAAAAATCTATCTGTAGAATCTATAGAACCAGGTAATCTTGTTTCAAAACATCGAATATAATTATCGAAATTCCTGAAAGAAAAGATAAAAAAAACAAAATAGGTAAACAAATTTCTATATAAAAGGGGAATTTCACTCATGAGATATGTAACTAAGAAAGGGGTTTGCACGTGTTGCAACATTTCTGATATATACCCCGAACAAAAAGACACTCTGGACGGATGACATATTTAGGGGTCACTATGTAATGCTAGTTTCCCACTATCACGATTCGTGCAACGAATGAAATCGTGGTTTTAATCGTGGAGTAATCGTGGTGATCCTATCAGATCCTATCATATATTGAGGTCAGTCGTAGCAATCCTGTTGATCGTATCGAAACGTATCTACACGTACCAGGTCGTGGACTCAATATGGACAATCTTATCGTAACGCATCGCACGACAGTGGGAATCTAGAACAACTGTCAAAGCTTCCTTCATCACTGGGCGTGTTCCATGACATACCACAACATCGGACAGTTATTTTATCAAAGTAAATGATTAAGGGGGATTATAGAAGATTAGTTAAAGAGCTGGCAGGCCTCATTATAATAGTTAAAAAGTAGATAATGTAAAGGGAATATGCTGAAAATATTAGTAAAATTGCTCCACTGTGAACCGAGATATTAGCGATAAAGTCGGTCCGATAAAAAAAAAACCGCAACAACATAGAACCGATTATCCAATTTTGGATTTAATCATCAATGAGCGTTGAGCAGCAGATCGGATTCAAATCCAGTGAAAATCAGACACATAAGATGGCATCAAGAGTTGATTAAGGTCTTTTCGTGTTAATAAATGTCTAATTAACAGTTTATATAACATTTCAGGTCCAACGAAAGACCTGCAATAGGCAGATTTAGTTCTTGTATAATGTATGATTAAATAATAGTATGGGCTCAATTAATAACTGTATGTTTAAGTTACTTACGAACAAATTGATCGAAAAGCATTAAGAGTTGTTGTTTCTGGTGATTGCTGTAGACCAACTTGTCGGGTACCAACATTATTTCTGATCTGTTCTGTCAGACATTGTTGAGCAACCGACTGTCCTTCAACCTGATAGAATAATCCAACAACTGGAACGAAGAAACAAGGATATGTTAATTAATCTTGAAATGACAAACAGATTATTTTGGTATTCGGCACCGTTCCTTTAGGATTCGCTACCCTTAAAGTATTAGACGAAAAAGAAATGAAATGAAATGGGGTTTAACGTCCTACTGTTCTGCTCCTATACTGGGCTAATGAAGACGGCCATACAGTGTGCTATGAGGGAAATTTTGTCCGGGCAGCTGCACTATCGCCTGCCCTTATATCGAATTCCAACTGTCAAGGGATCTTTTACATGCATTCCAATGTATACATGGAACCTCGGTTTTCCGTGTAATCCGAAGGACTAGACAGCTGTCCTTGTCAGGCCCTCCGTTCTGCACCACTGAGAGGGGGAAACCACGTCGGAAAATCCAGATGAACTCTCTCGGCCAATGCAGGGATCGAACACCCGACCTCCAGGCTAGCTTTCGAAAAAGAATTAAAAACATTATTATTTAATGAAGCTTTCCTTTACCAGAACTAAAACCTTGTGTTATAGCGCCATAGAAATTTTAAGTGTTTTTGCGCTATATAAATTCGGTGTTTATTATTATTATAGAGTGACGCGTAACAATGTCAGTGAATTAAGTTTCAACTAAACTGTTGTTAAACATCCGCCATTTGTTGTTTTCAAATAACAGACATTGCGTAGAATATTTATTAGTGATATTTATTTCTTTTATATTTACTGTATGACGTCATATGTAGACAAACGTCGGCCCGTTCTGGGATCTCATCGCTATTAACTGGCTGCTAGTGTACTACTATAGAAGCCGACATTAAAGGAGCTAAATCGCTAATATTTGGTACCTAGAAATTGACAAAAATGGGTCGCAACGCATATAACAATGTAATATGAATGTATATAAACTGATTTACATTCAATCGTTTCTGTTTTTACTGTAATTTCTAATCAGTTATGTTCGGCGAAATACGCCAGAAGTCTCATGGGAATGGCAATCTTTAGCGTCTGGTTTTTCCAGTCTACACCGATGATATTTATTGCGCATGTTCTCCAGATAAGAATATATCGTCACCATTTGACATCCTGTTCTTTGAGTCCCTTGTTCCAAATGGCGCTGAAACGCATTATGATACACGATTCGTGTACCAATGGTAACATGTTTATTTTGTCTTGAATATTGGATATCAGAATCCCATCTTTTTCCTGTAAGATCACAAGGCCAATGTTGATTTGAATTGATAAATAATTCGTGTTTTCAATGTCGAAGATTTTTGATGATATTGAGTTAGAGACTTAGCTACCTTAACCCGCCAAGAGACGGACTCTACTGGTTGGCAGACTAGTGTTTTTGTTAAAGAATTAGAGAATTCACAAAAACCCGGATCTTAATTCACGAAGTCTGAAATAGTTTTAAAATGCATTAAAACCATAGCACAAATTTTAGTTCTTGTCCAATGAAAAGGCTGTATTCTTAACAATGTACTCGAATAAGGCTCCTGATTTCGACATTATGTTACTTATTGACATCATATTCAATATAAAATTGTCTTTTGAATAAGTGACCTAATTAATTAACACTTGTAGTTTGTTTAAAAATTTCAAGGAAATTGTCGTTGCTTTACATATTTAATAGTTTTAGGTCGTACTGGTGGGTAAATCTGGTATTATCTGGATGGAAATAATAAAATTAATATTAAACATAGTCAGGTAAGCATGAAATATAAGGATTATGCAAGTTTATCCCTGAAAATAAGTAAATTTGTGTTACCACGGAAAATTTTATCTGCCCTCATATACTTTGAACGTTATCTAATAGTAAGTGCAGGAGGACCGCACTACACGCAAAACAAAAATCTACAAGATAAACCTGCGGACAAGACAGAAAATAGACATTGCACCAAATAAACAAATATCAAATCAAGTGAATGGATCCGGGGGCCAGCCGTTATCCATTTTAGTTAGTCAATATATCGCTTTTTAATACAATTCCCTTTAGTTTGTATGTAATCCCCACTGGATGACCCAAGAGGTTACCTTATGTAAATGTTAATGCAGGTCTTTTTTCTCTGACTTCAAATGTTATATACATTATTTTAGAGAGAGAGAGAGAGAGAGAGAGTGTCCACTCGACACAAACTACGTCATTTCGGGACTAACATATGGTTCAATTTCAATAATTCGCTTGCGTGTAGAGGTCTTTGGCTGTGTGAGGAAACCAGTTATTATTTAGAACATATATTCACATTATCATTTAAGGAAAATATGGCGGGCATTGTCTAACGCACTCAATATCTAAGCCATCAGATGCTCTAGAGAGTTGATTATGGGCTTGTTATATTAATAAATGTTTAAAGAATAGTTTATATAACATTTGAAGCCAGAAAAAGACCTACTGCAGTCAGATTTAGCTCTTGCATAAGGCCTCTTTAATATAAAAATGAAACTCTCATTTTAGCTTACTTGTGCCATAATGTTTTTTTAAATTGTGGGCATGTTGATCTAAACTGCAACAAAATAATACAAAGTCAGTTTAACACAATAGAAACATATCGTTGTGTCGTGTTAGTTCTTCGAGTAATCGGGCTCAAGTCAACAATAAGAACGAAAATAAACGTGACCAAAACCCCTTTAGATTGGTTTAGAAATATAAAAAATAGGGTTTATAAATCTAGCGTTAAAGAAAAGACGTGTTTATTGAGTTGGGTCTAATCTACTCACGTTATATTACAGCAAATTTGAAAAATTATATTTTTCTCTTGTTTATTTTTACATCATTTCATAGTAAGACATAATATGGCCTACTTCATCCACATTTTGCTTTTAGAATTTGGATCATAAATAATATTCTTTTGTAAGTCACAATGGTTCACTAAACGGGACAGAGAGAATAGGAGAGAAAGAAAGAGAGAGAGAGAGAGAGAGAGAGAGAGAGAGAGAGCGTGTTTAACGTCATATTGGGACTAACATATGGTTCAGTTTTATTTCAATGATTCGCTTGCGTGTAGGGATCTTTAGCAGTGGGAGGAAACCGGGGAAAACCCACGAGGTTGGACAGGCGACTCTACTCCTTTTCACCTACAACCGGGGAATCAATAACATACCTGATGATACAGCGCGCACCCGCTAACCATCCGCCCCCGCCCCCCTTACTAACCGTTGATGTAGAACGGAGGATCTGGTATGAAAAATCATCTAGTCCTTCGGATGGCCCTCAAATCGAGGAGCCCAGTACACCTTTGGCAGTACTTTAAAGATTTATAGACAACTTTTTATTGTGCAGAAAGGCCAGATGTTAAACCCCATTTCTTGTTTAAATCTTTGGATTGTTCTTTTTCCTACCATGACGCGTGACATCGTTTTTCTATAATCAAGTTACATACAGACTCACTGTCCCTACAATTGTATATAACTCACGTTTAATTCAATTTAAATCGATATTTAAACAACTTTATTATAAGCAGCTTGACGATGTACGATTATTTGATGAGTCTGCAGTAGAATTGATCGAGTAAATGTTAGCTGTCGAGTGTTTGTAACATGAAGGATTAACAAAAAGATTGGGCAAAACAAAATACGCGGAATGGAAACTTCCCAATCTAAAACTATCAGCATTATAGCTGAAAATTAAAGGGATGTCCAAAATAATTTATAATTCAGAATGTGCAATGACATGCCTAAATATGAAATAAGACAGAGTGTGCCTTTGTTGTTCGTACTTCGCTTATGTTAGGTTCCAAAAAAAGAATCATTCACGAACTTCAAGACCCGTCTAAGATTTTTCTACGAATCGGAAAAAATTTGGACTCGGAACAATTCGTGACATTCGTAGCCCATGTGAAAGCCAAGCATTAGGAATGTCCCGATTGAGTCCACGATCTGGTACGTGCAGATACGTTCGGATGCGTTTCGATACGATCAACACGATTGCTACGACTGACCTCAATCTATGATAAGACCTGATCGGATCACCACGATTACTCCACGATTAAAACCACGATTTTAAATCGTAGCACGAATCGTGACAGTGGCAACCTACCATTACTGTTCCTTAAATGCATACAACTTAAAAGTCGGTTGAGATTGTTTCATTTCAGAATTTAATGTAGAATTATGTAATCTAAGCGAAGTTATAAATGTTTACAGTTTTAATGTTTAAACCTAAATTGTCTACCACCATTGCCTATTAACATTTCAAATTCTCAATTGCCTACCACTATTGCCTATTGACATTTCACAGTGTCGATTGTCAAATATCTTTACCACGACCATAAATGAAGTCTTGAATTTCAATCGTTCAGTAGACAGTTTCCGTTAGTGGCTGTTATATTATCGTTTAATTAACTAAATATCTAAGTCATCTGATGATCTAGAAAGTTGATTACATGAACAAATGATTAAACATGTATTATGCAAGAGCTAAATCTGCTTATTGCAGGTCTTTCTTTAGGCCTGAAATGTGATTTAAATTATTAAGTAGACATTAATTAACTTATCCAGACCATAATAAACTCTCGATGTCAAGGCTAGCCTTCGATGTTGGATGGATTAGATTCCTATATGCCGCTAACGGCCGTTGATAATTAAATCAGAAAAAGTGGATAATCGAGACTATGCTGTTTATATTAATGAATTTAGTAATGATGACCGAGACTATGCAAAAATTTCACCCGCTTCTTTCTCGGCTCATAGTGGATCAATTTGACTTAAATTTTCAGCAAATTACCTTTACACTATCTAGTGTTTAACTATTATAGCGAGAACTGCCATCTCTTTATCTTATCTCCCATAATGTATCTTTAATAATTTATATAACACTAGACGCCTTCTCTACAACACCTGATCTATAGACAGAGATAAAAACTCTTGGATAAACGGATACAGTGTATTTAAAGAATATAATGTAAAAAAATAAATAAAAATAAAATAAATAAATAAATAAATGTTTTCATGATATTTTAAATATCTAATGAATTAACAAAAATGGGGTTTGGATCAGCGTTATTAGTTAATTTAATCCGTAAAATAGGAAATTACGTGAAACAATGTTAAAAGGGAATGCACCAAAACAACTGAGAAGTAAACGGTTTTTGGTTCGTTTTTTTTTATCATTTCGACGCTGTATCAATAAGGTGGGATTGAGTGGCGCTGTATCATTAGGTCTGTCATTGAGTCAACTGGCGTTGTTTCGATTTCCCGGTTGTACGTGACAAGGAGTAATGTCGCCTGTCCAAACTCGTGGATTTTCTCCGGGTCCTCCAGTTTCCTCCCACTGCTAAAGACCCCTACGCGCAAGCAAATTATTAAAATAAAAAAATGAACCATATGCTAATTCCAAAATGACCGAGTGGATGTTACACCCTCTCTCTCTCTCTCTTCTCTCTCTCTCTCTCCTCTCTCTCTCTCTTTCTCTCTCTCTCTCTCTCTCTCTCAAGAAATGTTCATGTTTTTTGTTTTAACCATAGCAGGAGTCTGATACCAATTTTTAGACGTATATCTTAATGTATCAGAGAATAATTATATGTAAATGTTGGTTTATCCCGATCTTCCCAGTCTTCTATTTGTTGTAGACTATAACAAACTACTTGGGCAGTTATAAGGTGGTAAAAGTTAACATTTGTAAATAGCATTTCGCTAGTAAAGCTTGACTATTTGTGTCTGGTTAGAAAGGTATACTGATTGGTGAAAAGGGTATTTGTGTGTGAGAGAGAGAAATCGGGTTTAACATCCACTTGACACAAACAAGATCATTTCGGGACTAATATATATGGTTTAATTTTATTTCAATGATTCTTTAGCAGTGGGAGGAAACCTGAGGACCCGGAGAAAACCCACGAGGTTGACATGTACAATAGGGGAATCGAAACTACGCCAGTTGACCCGATGCTAGACCTTATGATACAACACGCACGCGGTAACCATTCTCCACCTCAAGCCCCCTCTCCAAAGAAAACGGGCATTTGGTATATTTATACACGTAGGTACAGTAACATTTTTATAGACACAAACGGATGTTTGAATGTTAATGGTATAAGTTACAGTTTAAATAATACGCCTAATTATTATTCATCTACAACTACTATCATTTAAATAACACATAATAATAATAATAATCTTTATTTGCCTTAAAGGCCTTAAGCCTATGGTACATATATACATAGCAAAATATACAGACAAATTGCATATATGAGTGACATCATTTCAAGTCTACATTTTGTGCTAACGAAGTTCGTATTTATATGTAGTCAATCGGATCTTATTTAAAAATCAACATTTAAGCTTTGTATTGACTAGCCTATTTTTTTTTTATTTTTTTATTTTTTTTTTATAAAAATTGCTATTTTGTAAAGATATGAGGTGTTATTTAATAACAAGCTAAGGTTTTCCTAGGATGGGTATTTGTATTGATCATGTGGTAAATAATTTACTCTTAAAGATACATTATGGGAGCTGACGGTTCTTACTATAATAGTTAAAAACTAGATAATGTAAAGTGAATTTGCTGAAAAGTTCAGTCAAATTGATCCACTCTGAACCGGGAATTTAGCGTTTGAATTTTGGGCCTAGCCTCGATCATCATTACTAACGCCAGTACGATAAAAAAAACCATAGTCTCGATTATCCATTTTATGATTAAATCATGAATGAAAGTTGAGCAGCAAATCGGACCCTAATCCAATAAATATCGCAGGCTATCGATGCCATCGAGAGTTGATTATGGTCTGGATACGATAACTAATGTCTAATTAATAGTTTATATAACATTTCAGGCCTAAACAAAGACCTGCAATAGACAGATTTGGCTCTTACATAATAATATTTAAGTCTCTTAAAATTGGACACACAAACATGAAGTGAGGCTCATCTGCAATGGTTGTAAAACTTGCATATTACTTATTACGAAATACTACTTTTACAGGGTTCGATTTCTCATCGCCTCTTTGTGTATAATTCTTTTTCAAGTATGGGATAACCTTTATGAAATTTCAACTAGAATCTACCGAGTACTGTTTCCAAAGGAGTCATTTTTTTTTATATTTCCTGACAAAAAAAGTCAATAGCGTGCACTACAATATTTGATATCAAACTTGTTTTGTCATTGGATCAAATTTGTCTGTCTCGGGGTATTGGTAGACAGCAGGGTTCGATGTTTACAACTTTGCTCTTCCCACTCAGCAGTAATGAATCTTCACATCTCTTGATATGAATCGACGGTAAACATAAATTTGAGTGTGCTGTTTAAAACATATTTCTGTCACGGTTGTCTATTTTGATTTTGCATATGATATGATGAAATGATGTTGACCAAGACGATCTACGTGCAACTGAAATACACGCTGGCAGTAATTTTAAATTTTCACAGTTATAACGATCGACGAGCTTTGGTAATGTAAATTTCGTTTTATCAATAGTAGAACCAGACAATGAAACAGAAACAAATGTTTAAATGCACCTTTACAAAAATTAAGTTACATAATCTATTTTGCTAACTATTGATATTTTCCATCCATATATATTTTGATACGGAATATTAATGATAGGCCTTACGATCTATAAGAAATATTTCAATATAACGGTCAATTTAGTATTTTATTTTATTGGCTGTGGTTATGTTGCTCATCGTATTGGTATTGATAAGTTCACTTTTGTCATTGTTATTAATTTTTTCATAAAGAGTATTTTATCTTTTTAAAAATCTGAAGGACAGGGGACTAGACAAAGCCTGTGTCAATCTCCATGTATATTGTCTGTCATTTTTATATGTTAAATCAAATCAAATATTTTCAAGTACAGAAAGCAAGAATCAATAGATAAAATTTGTCGAAGCAATTAATCAATCGATGGCATTTGGAAAGACTGTACACCTGATGCACACCTTCTATAATCCCTTGTAATTTACTCACCTGTTATAAACAGTAAACGATACATCTTGATAGATTTACACTCTAATCCTGTCGTGTTTAAAATGACGATTCCACTGCTGTAGTTTTAGTAATAATAACTTGGAGGTAGAATAGATCTTTTAAAACCCACAACAAATGCTACAACAATACCTGAACTAAAGTCAACCTAACAGGACAACTAAGCTTATTCAGACAGCACTATTACAAAACGTGTGAACTCTCACCACACCAACACGAACGGTGTTATAACGTCTTTTCCTGGATGTTACAATATTCCTCTCGGTTTGATACAAAACAATCGCAGTGCGACACTGTAACCAACGACAGTAAGCAAACTAGTTCCTTGACCCAAGTCAACCTGAAATCTTTTTCATATTTACATTCAGCCGTTCCAAACGTGACGATTCGCCATTTGTATATATCAAGCGGGCCCCCAATCTTTAAAAATGTTTCGACTTCATTTTAAACCCGATTTTGTGACATTATGACACCGTTGTTCGAGTAACGATTTTCATTGTTTTTTTTAAACATTCCGTACGGGCTTTGTTAATACACTGCCACCTTTTGCCCATTATTTTACAATAATGTTTCGTACATAGCTAATTACACATCTTAAGGACAATTATCGACTTTACTAATATCTGTGAAAATGTTTTAAAGTTATTTTTGTCTTTATATGGCTCACGTTTTGATTGTTCAAATGTTCTGCCTTAATAATTAAATTTGTAGATTACCCATATCTATGTGCATAAACGTTAGTTTTATCAGAGTCAAGACGTTTTTCGCGTATTTCGAAATTCAAATAGTTAATATAGATTCTAGAGATAATTTTAGTCCCGTTACACAGGCCAATAAATAAATAATTACTTATAGTAATATTGAGGACGGTTATATTAAAGGGACAATAACACTCTTTCTGGCTTGAAAGCTCCAGAAAATAAATAATATCTCTATCTAAGTACTAGATGTTTAAGTGTCCTACCTGTTGTGTAAATTATCCATTACATCCTATTTTACTTGCGCAGAGGGTTCGAAAATATTTTTAAATCGAAGTTTCATTTGAAAAGGTTTACGTTAGACGTTTCAAACCATTATGTTGAATTTTTCAAAAATTTTAAATAAGGTGTGTTAAGATGAAATTTGTATCATCAATTAATTGAAATATTGTAAAATAGTACAATTTGTTGACCAGAATAAAGATTGGGACATATTATTCAGTTACAACAAGAGTGCTATTGAGCCTTTAAGTCTAGGATAAAGCACGAGACTGGGGGAAAGAAAGACTGAAGAAAATAACCCGAGAAAAAGAAAAACCGAGGTCGACAGGCCGAGGTTTCTCTGTCAAGGTTTTTTTTCTGAAGTCTTTCTTCTCCAGTTTAACCGAAGTTGCGGACTTTATCTTGCTTATAAACCGTCTATGTTTACATGTACGCAAAATGAGAATATCCCAGAATCCCTGTAAGAAAAACCTTATATATCATGTTTTCTTTTAAGAAAAAAACCTACCTTGGAAGAATAACCCGATACAGGTTTAAAGAAAAACTTTTAGAAGAATAACCCCAAATTCCCCTGTATGCATTCAAAGTTATTCCAGGCATAGAATATACCCCAAAGATCAAAGAGATTTACCGTTATAGGTTTATAAATTTGAATAGCATTCGGTAATTAGACAATGTTTACTTTTAATAGAATCTAAATCAATCTGGATTTTCGACTCGGCGTGTGAAGAATACGGTATTATAAATATAGTGGTGGATATTTGGGATAACCTAGACAGCGTTAGTCCATCCCTTCTATCATTTGTATAAATATGACATTTACCATTTCTTACATCAAATACGACCAACGAATCCATTCACTTAATCTGATATGTACGTTTGTTTGTGATTTCTGCTTATTGTGTCTTATCGGTAGGTTTTTTTTTTGTGTGTAATTATGTGTGGTGCAGTCCCCCTGTACTTTAGAACATCGGAGTTTCTAGAGGGTGTTTGCCCCTGTACTAAGCAAATGGCTGCTGGTAAAAATCTAAGTTTTAACGCATTTATACTATTTTAAGGCCCAGTTCTTTGTCAAGTTCAAGCGGAGAATCATTAACAGACCTTGTGATTTCACGCACACGCGTTTAATCACGAGACCCACCCCCGTAAGAGAATATCAAATTGAGCACGTGAGGCAATATAATCTCTGAACTTTATTTGACAGATATCATTTTCAGACTGGGTATAATAAATATAATATTATTCTGTCTCATTTCTGCCTTTAAACAAAATATATTTTCCGTGTATGTTTATTATTTTTTCTCATTTGTTGGGAATTTAACATAGTTAACAGACAGTTCCAGGGGCACTTAGGGTTTTGTGTTTTTTAAAACAATATTTATTCACAGAAACTGGATTGGAGAACAGGCAGAAGCCTATAGCCCCCCCCCCTCCAATTAGGGTTAAAGTTCAAATACTAATCCATGTCATCATTTTTAGTTCTTTTTATTTTAAGAAAAAAAAACACCCGTTAATGTGGCAACTTTAAGCCCCTCGTACTCGTATTATTGAGCAATTCGGTTTTAAACAGGTCTGCTGTATTTGTGCATTTAACGAACCAGTTTGTTAATAAGCTACATTTCCCGTGAAATTTGGAATCGCCAGCCAGTAGTTAGTAGTTAATATAACAATATGGCTCATGGATGCAGGGTTCAATTTAGGGATTTCAATTATCGCGGTTAACGTTCACTTGACACAAACTATAATTTCGGGACTAACATATTGTTTAGTTTTATTGCAATAATTCGCTTGCGCGTAGGTTTCTTCGAGGTTGGACATGCGACCCTACTCCTTGTCACGTACAACTGCTACATGATTCACAAATTAACACAACGACCAGTTGGGTTCCTGGAAAACGCGGATATCCTACTGCTGTGAAACATAGAATGAGACAGTGACCTTGTTTTACTGTTTAAGACATGTGAAATGATGTCATTCTCTGTTGCCTGGTTTTAAATATACGTTATCACTTATGGTAGGTTTACACTGTCCACTTTATTTATCCAAACTTAGAAATCCGATTCAATTCCACGATTTAATCTGAATATGACTATGAGTTGGTACCATTACAATCTGATTAAAAAACAGATCTATATTTCGTTTCGTTTTTTATACCTTCAATGGTCTCTATTACATGAAGATCTGGCCAGTAGTTTTGGGAGGTCGCCTCAGAAGTCATGCGAGCGGCTTTTGACTCTATGACGTCAGGCATTTGATTAACCAATCAACATTGATATTTTTAGTGGATTACCCACAGTTCCGTGCACCTCACGCCAAATGCTCGCCGTAACAGACCGTTTCATTGGCTAATCCCTCACGTCATCCATAATACGCCATTGAAAACAACTCTTCCAGATCCTAGTGTAGTAAAGACAAGTAAAGCGAAATTTTGAACCATAAAAAACGAAACTAAATAGGATCTGTGTTTTAATCAGATTGGTACGATTAGATCTAATTGGTATGGCCAACTTCAATTTTTCGTCATAGGTCACGAGATGTAAACAGGGCTACCGCTAATCTCAATCCTGGACCTAGCCCCAATGCTTACCCTAACCCTAATCTACAATCTCGAAAACAGTCAAGTGCCTTAACCTTATTTACATCTCACCGACCTTGATGAAAATTGAGCTGGCCTTAACAAATAGATTTAGCTAAGTTGGTACAGTATATGTCTGTTTACATTGCAGGAAGCAGTCGGCGACTCCCGATTACAACATATACACTATTCTCATCTAGTCTGTTGACAAATCGATAGTGTAAATCCAGAAAAAAAATAGATTTAAAGTTCATTACACTGAGTGGAAAACTGCAGCGTTTTATTTATAGACGACAATTATTTATTTGTAAATAAATGTTATTAAGTTAAACTTATTTAAAGGAGCTAATTCGCTAATATTTGGACCTAGAAATTAACACAAATGGGTAGCAACGCATATATGAATGTATATAAATTGATTTACATTCAATCGTTTCTGTTTTTACTCAAATTTCAAATCAGTTATGTTCGACGAAATACGCCAGAAGTCTCAGTCGAATGACAATCTCTAGCGTCTGGTTATTCTAGTCTACACCGATAGTATTTATTGCTCATGCTCTCCAGATAAGAGTATGTCGTCGCCGTTTGACATGACTTGTGGACTATGTCTAGCCTCGTTCGTCGAGTTCCTTGTTACAAATGGCGCTAAAATGCATTATGGTACACGATCCGTGTACCAATGGTAAAATATTTATTTTGTCTTAAATATTGGATATCAGAAGCCCATCTTTTCCCGGTAAGATAACAACATCAATGTTGATAAAAATTGACAAATAATTCGTGTTTTTCATGTTGAAGACATTGGATGATATTGAGTTAGAGACTTCGAACGCTACTTTAATGTTTAATCCAGGGCTGGGAGTATTCGTGTATGCAGAATTTCTGAAAGACTTAGTGTGGGTGGTGCGTAAAGGTGGAGAGAATATTAGTGAAAAATATTTACAAAAATTTCTAAAATCGACGTGGTAGCATAAATACCGCGAATATACGTGAAATGACCTTTAAACAGAGTAAAGCAGACATATCTTTAATTTTGATTATTTGACTTTTTTTGCTGACTAATTAACAGTTGTTGTAATGAAATATATTCTGTCTTTTTGAGTGTTCTATTCATTTTAATATACGACGTTAATAAAAATATATTCTGTCATTCTTAGTGGTTTATCCATTCTACTATACGAAGTTAATAAAAATATATTTTTCTAAAGATAGTGTTACTTGTTAATTGCATGTAAATAGTTTATTATTTATAACCATTGTTTAAATTCTTTAGTTTTGGGGTTTTTTTTTTACAATTTGACGTACGAAATAGATATAATACGTACATAGGTATGTTAAACGTGTCATTAAAATATATCATGTATATTCTAATATATGCTAAGAGATTGTTCTCCTCAGGTGTGTATTGTTTAAGGTAAATAGTATTATTTCCGTGTATGATACATAATGACAGTCTAATTTGTCATTAGAGCTGCATGAAGTTATTTTAATTTTAAGTATGACACCCCACGAATTCATGTTTACCCAATATGACGTCACCATTTTACATTGTGAGAGAAAGAGAGCAATGGGGTTTAACGTCCACTCGACACAAACGAGGTCATTTCGGAACTAACATATGGTTCAATTTTATTTCATTAATTCGCTTGCGTGTAGGGGTCTTTAGCAATTGGAGGAAACAGGAGGACCCGGAGTAACCCCACGAGGTTGGATAGGCGACCCTATTTGTAACGTACAGCCGGGGCAATCGAAACCACGCCAGT